ATATACACATATATACATATATAATATGAATGTCAGCTGAAGTCTGTTTTTTAAGAAGGAGTATTACAGGGTTATGCACAGGGTATTTATATAGATGGTTATTTATCTATATAACTATTGCACTGGATATAAAATATAAAGAAACAGGTTATTGCACAGGGTATTGAATTATAATTGCACATTATACATTGCACAAGTCATTGCTGTTGTAAAAAGGGAAAAAGGTTATAAAAAGGGAACGAAGTTGAAATCTGATCATACTAGTGAAAGGCACATTAAACGTACTATGAACTATGGATGAGTGTTCTGTTTTCTTTTAAACATCAATTATTATCACAATTTGCTTTTGATTTATATTAATATTCTGACATTAGTGAAAGTTTTTGTGAAAAAAAGTTACAGCCAACATTGCCAACAGCCAACATTGACATAAGTAACCCTCAACCAAACACTTCCTTGTTTCTTATCATCGTATGTGAGTGCATAAATGTAAAATATGAAAAAAAAATTGTAAAACAAATGAAAACTTCCCTTTTCATTAAAGGTCAGTTTAGAATTCTTCTGTCATACAGTGTTGGAGAAAAAAATTCAGCTATATTCCTATTCCTACCTATATTCTTGAATTTAAAAGAGTCGTAAAAAAGACATTTATTTTAGCAGAATGCTTAGATTTCTGGTCTGAAGAGATTTAGACATAATGGTTTGCAGCAATTGTTTATAATAATATTAATAATAATAATATTATTATTAATAATAATAATCGTAATAATAATAATACGAATAATAGTAATAACAATGCCGTCCTAAAATGTACTACTTTTGGGTTAAATAAACTACATTAGATTATCTTTAGGTATAAAGGTGTGTGTGAAAAAAAACAAACAGCAGTTTGTTTTTAAACAAACGTTTGCACATTTAAAGACTATTGTATGCCTAAACTAGTCATGAGAAAATATATATATATATTTTACTGAAAGTTCTTAAATTGATGTGTTAAATTAAAAAATACATAAAATACATAGTTTTGTTATGGAGATCAAAGCGATCAGTAACATGGTCTTATATACTTTTACGCATTTATTTCTTGATTAACAAGCCAAGGGTTTTAGATTTCCGAGTTTTCCTAAACGCGGCTCTAGGAAGCGTTGCAGCAGAGTCAGCCGCCGCCGCCTCCGCCGCCTGTCACAGCGTTTGATCTATCCTCTAAGTTCCCACTGCGTCTGTCTTGTATAAACCAAACTCCACACATCTCTGTTGGTGTTGACATTAAGGAGTCAAGGACAAAGCGAGCTCAGCTCGGACAGAAGAAGATGATTCGGACCCTTTTCCTGCTGTGTTTCCCCCTTTTCCCCTTTGTTTCACCAGCTCAGGGTGAGTAGCTCTTTAGCAAACTCCGCGCTGCCTTTAAACCCGTATTTTAACAATTGTTTAACGATAAACTGCAACATGAAGAGATAGATAAACAAGGGAAGTATTAGTGCCGAGAGGCGGTGGTGTAAGCCAGGCGGGGATAATCAGGCTCTATCGGGAAGGAAAACTGTTATCCCAGGTTAGCTGGTAGGAAGAGTTAGCCTCCTTTCCCAGGAGAAGCTGGAATTTCCTACGCCCTGTGGGACATTGGGAGTAAACTAATATACAGTACCAGCTATATGATTAATGTGCCATAAATTGCCATTTTTCACAGATTTAACAGAATATAATGAGATTATTATAATCCTTTATATATATTTTTTTATTTTTTGCTGGTATAAATCCATGTTATTATATTTATATATATTTTTACAGTAGAGTAGGTAGGTTCTCACTGTGTTAGGGTTTTCTTCATTTCCTCTTTCTAGATTTCATTATTACCCAACATTTAGCTGTTCATTCCGGTGTTTTTAACTGTTTCTTAAGAGCGTGAGGCAATACAGCTCAGTCTGCTAAAATGACACTACTCTTCCTGAGGTTTTTGCTTTTGTTTCTTTTTTCTTGTTCGTTTTTAGCTTTTTTTTTCTTTTTTTTTTTAGATCCCTTTGAAAGCCATTAGTAAATAATAAATAAATACCTGAACAGATTCATGCAGCTTGGTTGGACATATGATCCTAATTAGGGCTGAAACAATTAATCGATGATTGTGATAATCAACTAATTTGGTAATCGATTAATTGTTAGAGACTGTATCATTTAGTTGACAGATTAACCAACCCTTGAACAACAATTATACTAAAATTGTAAAACAAATATATAAATATTTTGCATTTAAGATTAAAAAAAAACATTTTTGTCCTTCAATATGCTCTATTAAGAAATCCTTAAGTGGAATCGCTTTAGTTTCACCTGGTTTGATTTTGTAAAAAGTCTTTTTTTAAGGAACCTTTGGCTATCTGATTATTAATTGATTAATTGAAAACAGATTAATCAGTTTTCAAACTAATCATTACTTGCAGCCCTAATCCTAATTAATACATTTCTTTCTACTCAGTCGCCATCGTGTGGTATAAGATTCTCACCATAAGGCGGTATTCACATAAATATTTGAATAATAAAACATAAAACTACTGATTAGGGATGCACGATATTGGGATTTTGGCCGATATCCGATATGCCGATATTTTAAAACTCATGTAGCCGATAACCGATATTATTATATAATAAACTTATTATATAAATAAGTAGTCATTGAAAATAGCAGTTTTATTATCCATTTCTGACACTTTGAAAAATAATATACTCAAATATATTTTCATATGCTGATATCAAATTGATTTTTAAAAACGCGGTATCGATCTATTTTACTTTCAAAATCTCGTGAAATTTCATCATTCTGTTAAAAACTCTCGTGATATTTTGCAAATTCTTGTGAGATTTTGTTAGTAAAATAGATTGATACCGCGTCAATATATCAACATATAAAAATATGGCAACATTTCGTGAATTTTCGGGGTATTTCGTAGCATAACGATGACATATAGCAATATTTCATTAGTAAAAGAGATTTATATGGTGTTTTTAAATGGCAATATATCAGCATATGAAGATATTGTGATATTTTAATGTATCAATATTTTTTCCCTCGTCTTTATAAGTTTTTAAGTCTGTAAAAAAGAAGTTTTTGAGGAAGAAGTATTTTTTTTTTTATTTTTTTTTTAGACTTTAGAAACTCAGAAGTTGATCAAATATCGGGTTAAATATCGGTGGGGTGGCCGATGTCCGATATTCAGTTTTAAGGCCGATACAGGCCGATATCGATAGGGGGCCGATTATATTGTGCATCCCTACTATTGATATATAGTTTATGAATAGAGTATTTGTAAATGATACACAGGGATGTTCTTATATGTACAATAAGACGCATCAACTGAGGAAAGGAAAAAAAAAAGGTGTAGGGACTCATTCTGGGGTCTTTGGGATCTAAAGCATTGTATATGCATGTGTGTAGTCGGGGGAAGTGTTAGATTATGGGCATGTGGGCGGGTGGGGTACGGGTTAAGTTGTCTATTCATATCAGTTTATTTAATCATCCATCCAAACCGTCTGTTGTCAAGCAATTTTTTCTGTCTGCGCATCTCCATGTGTTTGATTGCCTCAGTTATTTATGTCAGTCCACCTGTCAAACCTTTATCCTTCGGTCCATTTCTGCTTTTTATCCTGTCTCTTCTCCATCAAGTCATCATCTGTCCGATTATCCCTTCCTACATCATTCCCACACCTGTTCTCTTCATTTTTTTTTTGCATACGTCCATGATGATCTACATTTTCGTACCTCTAAAAAGAGACCAAAAACAACTGAAAATTATGGGAAGTTGGAACGTGCTATCATGCCAAACAGTCTACATATAACTTGCATGTAATGAACAATATCTACTAGTAGACAATCCCATTAATTTGGAAATAAAATCTGCACAACAGCTGACAGTGAGAAAGCCCAACAGTGGAAATCCCTCAAATGATTTCCAAAGAAAAAAAAAGAAGTCTGACTCTGGCAACATTTCCAATCAAGGTTAATAAAACAAACTTCACCGTTTGTAACTTCTAGTCAGTCTATGATGTCAGGCAGCTGTGGTTTGAGGTTCTGAACAATCAAGGTCACCTTTGGATCATTTTAAAGCCTATAAACCACATTATCTAAAGGCTAAAACCTGATGATTCACAGATTTCCTTGTGTTTTACATTTATTGTTTGGTCTAAACCAGTAACACCAACAACATATGACAAGTTTTATGTAAAGATAAAAGAAACTGGAAAACAAATTACTCATCACCAGAACAGTGTAAGATTTCTATGAGCTTCTCTCCACAGGTTTAACATTTATATTAAAGAGGGTAAGGATTCTTTTAGGTATCAAATAATATTTTGAACTGGTTTTCAATTAGTTGATTGATCTAAAATGAAATACTTTCATTAAGTCAGCATTTCTAAACCAAAAAACATTTGGAATTAACAAAAAACCTTTAATTACACATTATATGAATTGCAAATGTCAAAAATGTAAAACAGTAAACATATAATACAGGTTGTGATATACATGATGCAACTATTTGTATTCCTATATGGAAAATGTTTTTATTTTTTAGTTTTGTCTTTTAAGTAGGTTATTTTTTTCAGCAAATGACCTGTTTTACAGTCTGTGTATCATTACTCTCTGTCACCATTAGATTACAAAATTAGTTGAAAATTGATTGAAAAATGGATTAATCGTTTCAGCCCTAATTTAGCTCAACAGTTTCTCTCCACTGGTTGATTTAGATTCTGTTTTTTATTTTTATTTTTTTTCTCAGAGCAGTTAAGGGCTGAAACAATTAATCTGATTAATCGTGATTGATAATTGACCACTAATTTAGTAATAGATTAATCATTAACTGGAGTATAGAGTCTCTAAGACAGACCTTTAGCTGACAGAGCAACTCACCAAGAGCAGTAATTATACCAAGATTGTAAAAAATATATAAACATTTTGCATTTAAGATTTAAAAAATAATAATAATTTGTCAATAATCTCTATCCAGAACTCCTCAATTTGAATAGCTTTAGTTTCACCTAGTTTAATTTTGTAAAAAGTCTGGAACCTTTGGCTATCTGATTATTAATTGCTTAATTGAAAAAAATAATTGTCAGATTAATCGATTTGCAAAATAATCATTAGTTGCAGCCCTTGAGTATTTTGTATCTGCTGAGTAGAGAAACCGGTATGCCTGCCTAACTGTATTTCTCAGGCGCTGTTTTGGGGTTAAGTTCTCTGTTCCTGCAAATGCATAAATTGATGCTTCAAATCTATCTGCCCAATAAAAAAGATTGCAGTGTACAGTACCACTATAATATGACTCCACAGCCTACAGAAGATTTCTCTGAGTTTGGGGTTAGCTATGAAGCACATTTCCTTTCCTGGAGCCATTGTTTCCTTAAAACAAGATGGTGCCCTTACAAGAAGTATTTTCCACACAAGTTCAAAGAGGGTTTCTTATTTTATTTGTTCTCTTTTTTTTATCAGTTTTTTAATCATAATGGTTCTAAAAGTATTGCTTCAATTACTTTCGATTCTGGTCAAATGACATTTCAACACCATCAGCAAAACACACAAAATTATTATTATGACCTGTAGAGTTCCACCACAGCATGTTTTATTATGAAACCTTTAATGGAAGAGGAAATGAGACTTTAAAATGAACAACTTGTTAGCCACTTGTATGTGGAAGTGATCCTTTGTGCTCTGATCAGTAAGACTTTTTCTGGACATCTGTATAAGTTAACTGTGGTGCTAAATTATCCATAGGGATGATTCATTTTCCTTTATTTTATACTTCTTATCTTTGTAACTGAGATTATTCAAGTTTTTATTTTAACCACATTCCGACACAATTTGAAACCTTTTGTAAGAGTGTCCTGTAAAGGCAGGCAAAACGTATGGAGATGTGAAACACTGAACGTAAAGAAAAATACACTATCGGGAAAAAAACATGAAAGGTGATTTATTGAAAAACTGCAATTACAATTAGGCAATAATTGACTTTATACGATTTACACAGAGTTTAAAAGAATCCAAACATGCTGATATCGACAGAGAAGACTAGCAGCAAATCTTCCGCATTTCTGCCCTAGATCAGTCAGTCTATTGCAGGGCAACACCGAAACAACCATTCACACACACACTCATAGCTAAGGAGAATTTAGAGAAGCCAATTAACCTAACAGTTATGTTTTTGGACTGTCGGAGGAAGCCGGAGTACCCAGAGAGAACCCACGCATCCACGTGGAGAACTTGCAAACTCATCCAGAAATGATATGGGCCGGGAATCTAACCTGGAACCTTCTTAATGTAAGGCAGCAGTGCTACCCACTGCCCAACTGTGCAGCCTATTGATACATCAATGACTAAATGACTGCAGCTATGG